CCAAGCGAACTTCGCATTTCGCTTTGGCTGTGTTCAATTTCATATGCTTGCGGGTGTTCTAATTTTGACAGCGCGAATTTCGCAGTGGTGAGTTCGCCGTTCGCCGGCATTGTATTTCAGCTAATATGTTTTTGTCAAACTGACACTAGAGGTTTCAAACTATCGATAGTCACACCATCGATAGTTTTGATAGTTTACAGAAAAACTATCAATATTCACGATAGTCTCGAAAAAAACAAAACTATCGATAGCACTATCTTACTTTGCTTTTACAAGATCATAGTGAAATAAATATTATCTCATAAAAGTTATAATCATTCAAAATTAAGTAACTGCTTAGCCAAAATACTTCTCTTTTTACAAAGTTCATGTTCATGTTATGTATAATTTCAAAAAAGTTGGGAGCGATGATCGATAGACCTACTAAACTATCGATATTTGTGATAGTATAAGAAAAAACTATCAATATGTATTGATAGTCTACAGAAATTGAAACTATCGATACTATCGATAGTGCTATCGCTAGTTTGACAACTCTAACTGACACCAATCTGACATTTTCTCGTTGCCACCCGTAGTGTACAGCTTTTTTACATCTTTGGTTTTCATTATTTTCGCAGATTTGCAATAAACTAAAACGTCCTTTTTTGCAGGAAACAAGGCAATACAAAATAAGGGGAAATTTCGTTACCAAAAATAATAAGAAATAAAATCGTCAAAAGTGTGAAAGCTAAACGTATCATAAAATGTGTACTAGGAGCAAAGCTTTGAAGCAATTGGAGGAACATATCGAGTCAAACACATACAAGTAAAATGCAAAATTTTGGCAGTGGGTTGTAGAAAAGTTATAAAACGCGTTAAAACGTTCGCAATTAAACGAGACTTCTTTGGCTGAGTGAAAAAACTTGTATCAAAACTAGTAATAAAGTTTCTATTTCACGTATCGAAAGACGGAAAAATTGGCTACCGCTTATACCAAAACTGGTCATAAACGTACATATATTAAGGAATCAAAAACAAATCCATATAGCGTAAACAGTTCCGGCTCATACTTAATTCCAGTAAACAATCCACGAAACGCAGAGAACAGTATCTCAGAAGCTGTACAAGCCAGAGAAAAATCAGTGAATATACATAAAAATCTGCAACCTTATACATATATGTACATAAACACATTCGCTTTGATTCAAGGACACTACGCTTACTTTCTTCTGAAGCTATATCGCCTGAATATCTCTTAAAACCTTTCGGAACAGTAATAATTCAATGTAAGTATAAAATGACTAATAAAAAACAAACAAAAAATTGAAAGGGTACGGTTTAGTTATTTATGCAATGGAACAAGTAAAGAATACGCACCGTTTCTCTAGAAAAAAAAACTAAAAATAGGAATCGATAGAGCTTCTTGTGCCCATTATAACGATATTTAAATTTACTTGCGGAAATTAAAAAATAATCCAGCTATCGAAAGTCAAAGATCGAAATTTGCTTTTCGAAAAACCGTAATATCTCCAAAACTAGTGGTGTTTGTAAAAGTTAATATACCGTTTTAAGGGAGATTAAATTTCTTCCCTCATTTTCATTATTGTGTTTCTGACAGAGTAAGAGTGTAATGCTTGAAATACAATACCGGCGAACGGCAAATTTCGCCGAACTGGG